ACAAATAATAACTATACTCCTCTTTCGGGGGAACCTGTAACCCCTAGAGAGCGCGTCCCCAAGGTGGCGGATAGGGGCATGTCCTCACCAGCCTAGTGCTGGCGGATAGGTAGGAAATAAAATACTACCCGCGGACCAACAGGTAGGTCGGAGCATGCTCTAAAGCTGCAGAGAAAGCAAATCCTCTGAGAGAAGGAATACTCCAAAATCAAACCCTGGTCCTCCAGGTCGGGGGTTGAGGCATCGGGTTAACTCCCCGTTACTCGATGGAATCGATGGATTATAGCACGACGACACATGCTACGGAAAAGGATAATGAATATTGGAACTTGGAACGTACAAGGGTTTAAACAGAAAATAAATGAAGTAATACATGAAATAAATAGACTGAACAAAGGCATCGCAGTGATTACCGAAACAAAACGAAAAGGTCAAGGATCAGAAAATATCGGAGAATATGATTATTTCTACAGCGGGGTACCAAAGGAGAAAAGAGCCCAACAAGGCGTAGGTATACTTATACGACAGAAACTAAGGAGATTCATAACTGCTTGGAAAGCCATCAACGAAAGGCTCATAAAAATGAATCTAACTATCAAAGGAAAAAAAGATTACAATTATTGGAGTATATGCAGTAAACGATGATGCACTGGTGAATATTAAAGACGACTTTTTTAAAAAGCTACATTCAGAAATTGCAAATATCGGCAGATCACGAGAAATTATAATCTTGGGGGACCTAAACAGTAGAACAGGCTAGAAACAACACAACAAAGTCATAGACCAATATGGTGAAGAGGCTATAAATGACAACGGTACTAGACTAATAGCCTTATGCAAACAAAATGATATGAAAATCACAAATGGATTCTTTCAACACCGAGATATCCATAAATATACATGGACACAAAATACTTGAGGGCTGAAATCAATCATAGACTATACAATCATAAGACAAAAGACTAAATTGATTGTACAGGATGTGCAAGTATATAGAGGAGCCACTTGCGGCAGTGACCACCATCTATTAAAAACAAAGCTCACAATAGGAATAGATAGAGCAAGAGATTTAAAAGAAGCTGCAGAGGAAATATAAAAACTAACAGAAAAGAAATACAACCTAAACAGCTTAGAACAAGAAAGCGTGAGGGATTTATACCTACAGGAGTAGACTAGATAAAAAGTAGGAGTAGACTAGATAAAAAGTTAGAAACCATGCAATTTACCAGCAATGAAGAGCATTATCATTATATAAAAACATTTCTTCATGAAGCAGCAACAGAGGCTCTCGGACTCCAAGTAAAAAACCACAGAAAAACTTCGTATTGGTGGGACGAAGAAATAGAACAAGAGATTAAAAATAAAAGAGAGAAGTATAAAAAATTTCTGAACACAAGGACCGACGCTGATAAGGTAGAATACAAGAGGACCCAAACTAAAGTGCGAAAAATGATATGCCAAAAGAAGAATGAGGCTTGGGAGCAAAAGTGTAACATGATTAACACACATTTAGGAGAACGGAGAAGTACAGAAAGTTGGAAAGTATTAAAATCGCTACGACAGGAAAAGAAAAGATATATAATATCATCAATCACACCGGATCAATGGGACGAATATTTTAAAAAACTCCTAAATGAGGACAGAGCGGAATTTTTAAATAACAGTAATACCAGCAACGTAAATATCTTAGCCTCACCATTACGAATAACAACAAAAGAATGTCAAAAGAATGTCATTTTGATCAGTTGTTATCAACAGGTCCTCGTAGACACTTCGTCTCAGGACCATTTTACTCATGTAGAGTCATACGCCGCCATGTTACCTATCCAACGGTAACTTAACCATCACAAATTAGAAATACTAATAATGTAAAACAATTTCAAATTTATAACATTTAAAGGGTTTTTACCCATATATTTTGGTGGCTACTAGCATGTACAACCGTTTGCACTGATGATGGATTGTTTAATCCGAAAACGTTTTGCAATGTGTTTGTGATAGCCCGTTTGAGGCATTTTTATATACCTTTTATAAAGAATTTTAACAAAAATTTTTTGTGATATATGGTATACAGCCAGCTACAGGAACTTAGTTTCCTCCAGGAACAACAAAAGAAGTAGAAGAAGTATGTAAGTCTTTAAAAAATAACAAAGCACCAGGACCAGGGAATATACCAGCTGAACTAATAAAATATGGCACAACAAAATTATATGAAAACCTGGCCAAACTCTTTCAAAGATACATCAACGGAGCGGAAATCCCAGAAGAATGGAAGACATCATGGATATCCACCATACATAAAAAAGGCAGACGGGATCAATGTGACAAATACAGAGGCATCGCTGTAACGAACTCGATCAGCCGAATATACGGAAAACGCATTAAAAATAAAATCGAAAACGAATATAAAGATATAGAAGCTGAAGAACAGGCAGGATTCCGGGCAGGGAGATCAACGGTAGACCATCTGTTTTGTATTACACAGATTATTGAGAAGAAACTGGCCGTCAACCAGGAGGTGCATCTGTTATATGTGGACTTGAGAAAAGCGTATGATAGCATCCCACAAAACAAACTATGGGAAGCATTAGAGAAAACCAATATAAGCGCAAATTTCATAACAGCGACGAAACAATTGTATACCAAAACTGCAGCCAGGGTGAAAGTTGGAAGCGAGCTATCGAGAGGATTCCAAATTAGCAAAGGTCTAAAACAAGGGTGCTGCCTTTCACCGACATTATTTAAGATCCAACTTGTACTAGCGCAAGACTACGATGATATAGAATATATGACAAGGAAATTAATAAAGGAGTACAAAAATGGTGATTTGGAAATAAACATAAAAAAGACCGAATATATGTGTATCGGTGGGACACAGCAGGACCTTACACTGGGGAATGGCGAAATTATTAAACATTGCGACGCATATAAATACCTGGGTATGACCATCACACAAGAAGGAAACGTAGACCGGACGATAGAAGAAAGAAACAACCAGGGAAGAAAAGCAATTACCCTTCTCAATAGCATACTGTGGGACCAGGCAATATCAAACAACAACAAACATAGAATATACAATACAATTGTTAAGAGTATAATCACTTACAGCAGTGAAGTATGGCAAATAAAAGAAAGATACAAGAGAAAACTTGAAGCAACAGAAATGGATTTCTGGAGGCGCTCAGCAGGAAAATCAAGATTAGAAAGGGTAACCAACAACAGAATTAGGGAAATAATGAATGTGAAACACACAATAGTAGATGACATTAGTACCAAACAGCTTAGATGGTAAGGACACGTACAAAGAATGTCCGAAGAACGACTCCCGAAACAAATCCTAACGTGGACCCCTCATGGTAGACGAAAAAGAGGAAGACCCCGCCTTAGTTGGAGAGAAGGCATAAATCGAAGTATGAGAAAAAGGGAATTAATTATATGAAGACCTTTGGATGGACCGAAGTGAATGGCGACTAGGCATCGGAAGACGTAGGAGAACGGTTTAAAACCGATATATATATATATATATATATATATATATATATATATATATATATATATATATATATATATATATATATATAATATATATATATATATATATATATATATATATATATATATATATATATATATATATATATAACTATACTCCTTTTACCCTGTGTCGGCCGATATGTAATTAGGATATGATCAGTGTGCCTCAAACAGTGGGGCGTTAATATTTAATAATTCGATCGCTTGAAAAGTAAAGATATTTAATTTCCTGTATTTTATGTTCAGTAATAATATTGGATTTTGTTGTAGAAAAGGTATGACCAAATTTCAATAAACTACATCTAAGACTTTACTTTCTGCAGACACTGTATTAAATATAACATTGAAAAAAAAATTGGCACTAATTAAATGGTACAAAAATAAGGGTTCTTTTTGGAGCTACATGCTTGGTAATTTGTTCACTTTTTCTTTTTTTTTCCCTTCTGTACCTCTCCTCTTTCTAGTCCCATCATTTCCTTTACCAACAACTTACATTTTCATCTGCCCCATCCATTATGCTTTACATAATAACGTAATTACTACTTGTTTTAAATACGTTGACAATCAAGCTCCTATTGGTTGGTTGGAAATAAGCTGGTTAGCCTGGATCAGTACAGTGGAAATAAGTTTTTCATGTAAAGGTGGTTTTTAACATGCTTTTACGATGGGTAATAATTGAATTTTTTATTTCAGAAACCACATAAGTGCGCTTTTTTCAACTTTTGAAAAACTAATAAAAACTGATTTTTAGCTTAAGTATAAGTCTAATCTCCTTCAAATATTTTTTTACTAAATCAAATACATGCTATTAGAATAATATATTTGCCTTTGAGTTTTTTAGTTATAAGTTTTTGAAATAATTGGACTTAGGTGGTTTCTGCAATAAATGAGTTTATCCAAAGTGATTTTTTTAAAATCATTATTAAAATTAAGTCAAAACATGAATTTGTTCCTATTTTGGTAACAAAGGTAAGTGACCGATACAATTGAGTATAAAAAAATATTTTTACTAGGCCTAAATCGAAAAATACAATTACACTACACATACAGTATGTCTACATACAAAGATCTGGATTTATTCAGCTTCTGGCAAGACTTCTGGCAACTTCATGTCAGTCGTTGGCCATTGGATGATAGTGTCATAGAAGGCTTCATATCTAACAGTGTATTCCATCAATTTTTTTATATCATCTATCTTTTTTTTTTTGTTGATTGGGACCTAAATCCAAAAACCCCACTCTGCAAACCCGATTGAATTTTAAAACTTGTTAGACTACAAAAATGTTTAGCTAAAAAAAAGTTTAAAAAACATTTGGCAAAATAAAAGTATCGTAGAATGGGGATACATTGATCATTTTTAAATTTTAATGTTAAACAAAACTTGTATCTAAGAGTTAAAATCGACTAAAAAAATCAGTAATAATCGGGTTTCATTTATCAAGACACACAATAAATATTAACACTACATGTTTGATACTTTTCAAGAAAAAAAATTTAAAGAACCTGATCAAAGATATACTGTAGATGGGGATATTTTGATCACACATGTAATTTGAGTTTAATATGAAAGTATCCCCAATGTTATTCACTTTGAAAACATATTTTGACAAATCTTATTTTATTATGACTTTTTAGGGCAAAAAAAATTATGAAACTTACAGAAAATAATGTATTTGATGATAATGAAATGAAACTGCACTTCAACAACTTAAAAACTACGAATTTTACAGAAAAATAATGTATGTTAACGTGTTTCAAATTAAACTAAACTTCAACTACTTTAATGTTTTTTTCTTTAAATGCATTTGGTGCTTCCATCTAAACACTCTATAGATGCAGGATTTGGTAAAAATTCAACAATTCCTCCTTACTAATTTGGGATGTGTCGGCATCAATCATCTAAAATTCTGTCTTGCTGGGTTTTATGGATTTATAGCCTATGACTATTACTTCCGAATCTACCTCCAAAATTTTACAGACATAGATATAAGTTTTTTTTCCTCTCTGAGATAAGAATTTTGCTAAAATATATCTACCTGCTTGAACCTTATCTACTTCAGACTGCACTTCGTAGTTTTCTTTATTTTCTAACAAGCCTGATTCATTTTCGGACTCGAATTCATCTGACTGTGATATATGGCTTTCTTTATCTGAACTATCTTCTCATTTCTGCTCAATTATTGTTGTTGACACACTAGCTCCGGGAGCTACATCTAGTTTTTTTTTCTTGTTTTTGGTCTCTCTGGTCCTCTAAAACTTTGCTCCTTTAGAAGTGCAGTTAATGCATTTACAACGGCGTCCCTGGGATCTTGTGGAGATCTGTTGCCAATTTTTTATAAACTTCACCCGGGCAAAACGGATAAATACCAGTAGATCTAAAGGAGCTAATTAAGTTTAGCTTTACTGCTGACGCACCAGGCTGCTGACTGCTTGGGATTGACCACCTTTTGAAACTCGAGGAGTGACTTCGTCAAGAGTTTTTAATATTTTCCTTAAAAGAGATGAAAACATATCTTTTGGAACTGTACTTAGTCGTAAATTTTGTAATTTCCAATCTGTTAACGTTGTCCTCCAAGTCTGTTTCATTGGCCTGAAAAAGCCCACGTCCAGTGGTTGGCACAAACGGGTAGAATTTGGAACTAAGCATATGAAGTCAATTTCATGTTCAGCACACATCTTAAGAATTTCAACATCCATGGGTGACGACAAATTATCTCCTATCAAAGCTTTTCTTCCTTCTAAACGTCGTGCATGGGGTAAAAAGCAAGTTGTAAACCAGTCTCTAAAAGTTACGCCATCTATCCATCCACTTTGAGTACGATTATACCATGTCCCTTGGTTGCAGCATGGTTTATCGCAGCAAGGTAAACCACGCGGTCCATTTTCCTTCCACGTATCATACAGGTGAATGCTTTTATAAATGACGTAGGGAGGGAGAAGAGTTCCGTCTGCAGCAGCACATACCATAATAGTGGAGTAAAGAACTTTTGGAGTGATTCATCACTTTTTCGGGGTACTTAATGAATCTTTTGTACATGCAACGTTTTTTCCCTGGATCGTCTGATAAATTAGACTGGTCATAGTTGAAAATGTTGGAACTGGGCAAATCTTTAATTACTGGCTCCAAGTTATTATAAAACTCTTCTAGTGTAACTCTTGAAACAGCAGCTCTATCACGTTTAATATTTGTTGCTAGTCGTTGCCCAAACGAATCCTTATGTTTATTAAGTAGGCTGTATGCCCAATCAATACCAGGCAGATTATTTTGAATAATAGCTACGTTTTTTCCTCGTTGGTCCAAATACCATTTTGCCATCATTCGTAGGTCCAGAATAGATAAAGGAAAGCCCCAGTCAGCACATTTAGCGGCTGCTTTTAAAATTGCTACCTCCTCTCCTTTGGTGAAAATAGTAGGACGTCCGGGGGTGCCAATATGTTTTCCTTAATATCTGTTATACGGGGTACCAAAGGGAATTTTATATTGTCTTGATGCTTCTCTAATAGACAGTGTACCTTCAACTACCCGTTCTTTCTAAATTTGCTGGAGGGTAATCAGAAAGTAATCTTTTATGCTTACGGGGCATTTTCCTGCAAGAAAGAATACGTTTAAATAATATTCATTTGATTAATATTTTCATCTTTTCGAAAAAACGATTATACGGATCGTCTGGGGTAACATTGATCACACGATCAATGTTGCCCATTGTATTGATCAATGTTTCCCCCAGTAATTTCACGCCGTACTCTTAATCACTCCCATAACCTGGTTACGTTATTTTCAGTAAGATTCATGATCAAAGTACTTCTAATCACTATACACTAAAAGCCAAATAACGTCACCAATGTCGTAATTCTATTGTATGTGTGGCTACATTTCTATAGAAAAGTGTATGTTACTTTAGTTTGCTAAACAATCACTTTTAAAAATAACCCGATCAATAAAAAAACTTTTGTAACAAAATAATGTCTATACAGCTATGAATATATAGCTTGTTTGGATTTAGACGTCCGTCATTGTAAAATTTTGTGTTGAAATGTTCATAAAGAAACCACCAATTATTGACGGAGTATTAGTCACTACCAGAAATATTGTCATGTTGCCACGTCGTTTGTTGAATTTTCATTCAGTGGTCTGTGACTTTTGTACTCGTGGTATCGTCGATTTTTGAGGTTATCTTGTGAAAAACATTTATTTACTTGTCAAAATGCCCAAACAGCTTAATAGACGATGCAAAGAACTTGTGGCTTCATTAGTTAACTATTTTGAAAAAGAAAGGATTAATAATGGCTGTTTGTTACCCTTAAACGCTGTACAAGAGGTAATATGCGAATCAAATATCATTACTTTACTTTACAAAAATTTGTATGATTTTAGCGTGTAGCTGCTGCTTTAAAAATCAGCGTAAGAACAGTAAACAGCATATGTGCATATGTCAAATGTAGAAAAAAGGTGAACAGTTCGAGTCACCAAAGAAAAAGCGTTGCACTAATAAACGAGTAACTTATTGTTTGGTAACTCAGTAATAACTTTACCACTTTTATTGTGAAATTACTTACTTTGTGAAATCTATTCATGAATGTAATTAACAAAAAAATAAATGAAAAAAAAAACACTCATTTTTAAATTCCACTTAATATTGTTACGAAAGATTTATCCCACATAGGAAAAGTCCATTGACGAAAAAGAAGAAGTAGTTCAAGAACATTTAAGATGACATCGAAAATTCTTGAAATGTCTAGTGAAGTTTGGAACGTCAGAACATATGTATATAACAAATGTTTTTGACAGTTGGGGAACAGATGTATTTTGAATTTATAAGTTTATAGTTGTCAGTTAGTTAAAAGTATTGTTATATTATTGGTTTTGAATAAAGCTAAGTTTTAAGAAGTGTAACAATATAGTGTGAAATTTGCTATCTTCACTTTTTTGGTTATTTAAGTTCTTTTCTGTTAATTTTCATACTTCATAAACCATCTGACAACGCAGCAAATGTTCACAATGATGACGTGAACGCAACTTTATTTAGCTTTCACTGTATGAAAAAATACGTTGTATAAACAATATACTTACCGTAATATGTACTAAGTTTTTCACTTAACAAAATTGATGTGAAACTCAATACTCCAAAAAAAATACTTGTACTTCTAGCACACGCATGTGTATCGGTATCGAATGATCATAAATACTAAATAATAGTAACATTGCTGCCGACTAGGCAAAATTCGGTTATCGGCAGTGGCTACGCGCACACGCCTAAGGCATATAATTAATTTTTAAAGTTTTGATCAAAATAACCCCCCAGTTCAAAGTATCCCCATTCTACGGTATAACATACCTTTCCCAAAGGATAAGCTTTCTCTGTTGGTAGTTCCGGAGGGCTAAAAGGTTTTAGCATTGTGAAGAAATATGTTGTTAATCGTACAATGAAGGCGCGTGCGACCACTTTTCCCCGAGTATCCTTGTTGTACAGAATCTGCTTGTACTGGGACACTTTGAATGGCTGCTTATTTTCTTTGGATACTTTCCTGCCTGATGTTTCGTTCAAGTTTGGAATTTTCTTATATAATTTACCACCACTTTTTGAAACTGAGAACATCGTTTGACGTAAAGTGATATAAAGTAAATCGGCCAGACTTACTAGCTTTTCGCATGAGCTCTGTATATTCATTAGGAGTATAAATCCTGTCCATCTTTTTCAACAGATACTTTATGCTTTCAAAATCTCTGTCAGATAGGAAAAATGAGTGGCCACGTACAGATGAGTTGTGAGTTATCAAACCTACCTGAGTCACAGAGGTTTAGTAAAAAACGCAAAACTGTATAATTCTTATTTTGGCCTGATGGTCCATCACAAAACAATATCAGAAGCTTAAATTAACTGGAATATTATTGAAATAGTTCAGTAGCATTGAACATACTTCGTCAGGGCCCTTGTTTGCTTCGCCCTTGTGATACACGTTCAGTTTGGAAGAATTACTTTTCAAATCGTGTAACGAAAACACATTTACCCAGAGCTGCCTCTTGTAAAAAACATCCTGTACAGGTATGTGATCCAAGGGTAAGTTTTGCATATAGTCGGAGGCTAGTGCGATCGTGTTGTCATCTTTGTTTTTCCTTGCCTCATCCACAGCTTTGTAAAACTTTTATGCTCGCCTTAAGTGTATCATTTTCTTAGCAGTTACATTTCTTTTAGCATTATCACTCAAACACTTGTCTTTCAATTTAGCCGACAGTCTTTTGCAAGTTGAACACATAGCTACTTGTGGTCTTCCAAAACAGTAAGCAACGTTCATTTTAAAGTATTTGTTGTAGAAATTATACTTTACTTTATTTTTAAGGTCAGGGTTGTTAAAAATAAACATTGCATGCATTTTTGCGACATTAAGCCTAGCTTTAAGATATTTTTTAGGTTTTTCTCCATAATGAGTTTCCTTGACATCAAATTTTTCAATGTGCTTCTCACACAAACGTTACCTGGAAGAGCGTTTCCACTTCTAGATTTTCCCTTCATCTCTACAGGGGTTTTCTTAAGGTCAGAACATTTAT